AATGGAGCTCATCAGTGGTCACTACATCACCATGTTGGTGGAAGGGCAAGCGGTTTGGATCGCAGATGATGGTGAGCGTCCAAGAGCGGTGAAAGAAATTCCGAGCATTATCCAAGAAGGCACAGTGATGGTGTGGGCCTCAAAAGCTGAACCCTCGGATTTCTGGTCCAATCCCATTGGTACTATACAACCACCGCTGAAGAGACCGAAGATCCTGCAAGATGAGGTGCAATTGTTCTTTAGCAACATCACTCAATGGAACAAAGAGGTCTTCCAATGGCTCATCCAGCAAGACCTGCAGATTGCGCTGCTGGTGGAGACACACATAGCAGGCCCTAAGATGGAGGCTGCCATGAGTGACCTGTGTAGGTCTAGATGGATGCCTACCTTCCTGACTGCATATGAGACGGGCAGAGGAGGCACAAGTGGTGGACAAGCCTTTTGCTGCAGGGAAGGGCAGACGGCCTACAAGCTGCACCACTATGACCATGAAGGAAATGGATATTTGGCCAATGTGGTCCAACGGCAGAACTGGGAACTATGTGTCATTTCAGTGTACCTCAAGTGTGGGGAGGACCTGAATTCGGTGCCCAATGCAAGAGTGCTGGGACAGGTGGCAGCCTTGGTTCAGGAGCTTGCTATACCATGGCTCCTGATTGGGGACTTTCAAGTCCCGCCTGCACAGTGGGATGGACACAACTTGTTGAATGTCCTGAAAGCGGAAGTGGTGAGCAGTGGCCAACCGACCATGATCAATGGAGCTGAAATTGATTACATTGTTGCAAGTAGGGCCATTGCACCGTATCTGGACCTCAAAGTCAACTGGGATGTACCATGGAAACCACATGCTGGATTGATGGTACATGTGGCGCAAGAAGCACCTAGACTGGCCTTGCAACAATTGACACAGTTTTCCCCGGTGCCCAGAATGGAAGAGGCTGAAAAGCCTTGGGATCACTTCGAGCCGGCCCCAAAGCCTTTCTGGCTGGGTAGGCCAGTGGGTCCCAAAGAGATCCAATGTGCAGAGTTTTGCCACCAGGCTGAACAGTTTGCTTTACAACAATTGCATCAGCCAAAGTATGGCAGGGGATGGTATCTGGCCTTGGAAATCAAGCCGCTTGCCAAGACAAAGCCGCTGACACCGTGGAGAAGGGGTGACTTAGCCTACTGGGGGCAGATGAGCTCCCTGCTGCAACATGTGGCCCAGAGAGGAAGCATCGGTGTGGGAGCCATGGCTCATCTGAGAGCCAAAGCAGCTGACCTCACCAGCAGATGGCAGGACATCCATGGGTTTGAAGATTTCCAAGCAGGCCTGCAAGAGCTCATCAATGGGGGAGATGCCCCAATAACCCTGTTGATACAAGGTGCGGATTGCAACAAAGAGCAAGCTCAAAAACTGGCATTCAACCGGCAAGCTGATGAATACCAGAACTGGCTGTCTCAAGCAACCCTCAGGGGGCACAGTGGCATCTACAAGTGTTTGAAGGCCCCAGATGCGGTTCACGTCAGACCTTTTCGCAAAGTGCCTGTGCAGCAGAAACAGCAGATGAGGGAAACACAATGGTTTGGAATGTGGCAGGTTGTTGACAAGCCCAAACCAAATGGGGAGAGAGAGAGGCTGAGATATGAAGGCATTGTGCAAGCCCGGCAATGGGAAGATCTTGATCCCCACAAGGTGATGAAACAACTCAGCAAACTCCCTCAAAAAGCTTCAGGACCAGATGGAGTCAGCTATGCCTTGTTGAAAGCCCTGCCCATTGAAGGGGTCACTGCTCTGTGCAACATGTACAGGAAGTGGGAATTGGAAGGCCGGCTGCCTGATCAAGTGCGCACAACATTGGTCCTGCTGCTCCCCAAAAAAGAAGACATTGAGAGGCCCATCTCATTGACGAGTGTGCTGTACAGGACGTGGTGTCGATTGAGATGGGACAAACTGCGACCATGGCAGACCAGCATTGGCCAGAAGCTCAGTTGGGAGCGAAGTGTGCCTGGCACACATGTCCTACAAGTTGCCCTCATGAGGCTGCTGAAATGTGAGGTAGGCCGTGCCACTGGAAAGCATGTGGTCTCGCTTCTGGTGGACCTGCAGTGTTTCTATGACAGTGTTGTGCTTGAGCAACTGTTGGAAGCATGGGAGCCTTTGGATTTCCCGCCTGCAGTGATGAACATGGTATACGAAGTGTATACCGGGCCACGGCTGCTCCAGGCCGAACAGGTCACCTCCAAACCTGTGATCTGCTCAAAAGGAATCCTGGCCGGATGCCCTGCAGCACCGTTAGTAGCCAAGTTGATCCTGGCGCCAGTGTTAGGCCCTTTCAAGGAGCAGTTCCACAAAGCCACCATAGATGTGTGGGTGGACGACATCTCCATTGACTTCGTTGGGGATAGTTTGAGAGGAGTTTGTCAGGAGGCCCTCCATGGATTTGAGGTCTTGCAACAGAGGCTCACGGATGCTGGGCTGACAATGTCCCTGGCCAAGACTGGGTACCTCGCCTCATCGAATGATTGCAAGAAGGAGATCACCCTGCTGAGGAGAGAAGACCAACCCACAGTTCACGAACTCCTGAAAGATTTAGGCTTGGACTCCAGTGGAGGTCGACGGAGGAGGATTGGAACACAGCAAAAGCGGCTTCTCAAGGCAGGAAGGCGAAATGCCAAGCTGTCCCATTTGAAGATCAAGGCCAGACCCATCCGGATTAGAGTTTGGAAGACCTCTGTACACTCTGCGGCATGCTATGGTTTGGAAGCTCAGGGCATTGCACCACAGCGCCTGCAAACGCTTCGAACACAGCTGGCAAGACATGGAGGCCTCCAGAAAGGAGGCAGTGTTGATGTTGTGTACGACCAGAATGAGAAGCTGCAAGATCCACTTGCCACGGTGGTTGAGAGACAACTCAAGGCCATGCACTTGCTTGTCCTCAAATGGCCCCCGGAGCAACTTGCTGAACTCCACACTGCCTGGAGAATTAGCTGGAGAAGATTGAAAGCAGCGGCTTATCCTTGGATGGTGGTCACTGGACCAATGGCAGCACTTCAGGTCTATATGATGGACATGGGTTGGGATGCCAGTTGTCTCAATGATTGGGTGCGTGCTCAAACTGGCTTGCTGCCAACAGCCCAACTCAATATAGAGTTCCCTTGGCCCTATCTTCAAAGACAGCTGCAGCAAGAACTTGCAAATCAAAGGGCACGCAGGATCCAAGAGTTGGAGCATGCCTTTCCCCTGATGAGAAGGCCTGACTGGAGCATATATCGGAAGGCAATGAAGCAAGCTTCACCCAGTCAGAAAGTGGCAATCAATGCATGGACGCAGGGCTCATTGAGGGCACACTATGGTGGTGAGAGGATGATGTGTCCTATGTGCCAGGTTCCGGTGAGCATGAAACACCTGGTCTGGCAGTGCAACTATCACAAGGATGAGTTGCCGCAGGAGTGGAAGCAGATGATTGCAGCCAATGAGAATACTATGCTATGGGCCAGGGGGCTCATTGATCAGCCGGCCTTTGATCCATGTGAGGGTGCTGATTCCTGTGAAGTTGATGGCATCTTCAGTCATGGATGGCCTGTGAGGATTGGCCCCCATCAGCGGTTAGCCATTGGTCTGCAGCAAACCAGCAAAGACCCGAGGGTGAGGAGATATGCTGTAGCGGTGGTGGCAATGCAGTGGCAGGTTGATGCATGGCAAGTCATTGGGCAATGCACTGCCATCGCCCCAGGGCACAGCACTGAAGCAAGGGCATGGTTCTTTGGCTGTTGGCTGGTCCTACAAATGGTTTTGGGCAGGCATCAGCTAAACATACCTCACCCAGCAGGTTGGACGGCCATCCAAAAAGGTGCGGCAGGCAGAGTGGCCCCTGATCTGTGGCATAATTTGCCAGAGGATGAGTGGAAGAGGCTGCAGCTGCTTCAAGTGCCGTGGAAGCTGATGAAGAGTCAGGCCACCCATGACCGGGGCAGGCAGCAGTACCTCCTGGCAAAGCAACTGGCAGTGCAGAGGGCTCATCGAGAACAGCCGAAGTCCCTGGAACAGGAGTTGGTGATTGAGGACCAGCTGCACTTGGAAGTCTACATGACTGCAGCCAAGAGGATCAGCAAAATGCTGCAAGACAAAGAACACTATATGAATGGCAAGTTGGAGCCTGTGCCTGACAGCGGTCCTAAGGAGACCAAAAAGAAGCCACCACAAGGTCGATTGGCCCTTCTTCGCCAGCTGACGTTAAGGGAGAGACAACCAGGCACCCATGAGTGGGAGATCTACAAGGCTGGAATCCAGTGCAAGCACTGCAACCGCAAGATAAAAGGCTGTGCGACGCATGCAGAGATTGCCCATCAACAGGACACAGTTTGCAGAGGGTTTGCAGCACGAACCATGGAGCAACAGATGCGGGAGCTGGTGGACAGCTCTGACCTTCTAGCAGAAGGCCACCCTGGACATAGATGGGTTCTGCAAGGCAGCAAATTTGGGTGCAAGCAGTGCTGGGAGAGCATCCCACGGCGTAGCAGCAAGCATCACCTTCAACAGTTGCTTGCAAAGGACTGTGCCACAGGCCCTGTTGAGGAAGCTGGCCTCAACTTGAGACTTCGCATCCACACCAGTCATTGTCTTGTGAGAAGAGGCAGATGGGTTGAGTGCCAGCAATGCCTCAGAAGCAGCCGGGTGGTTGATGGCAGGCTGCAGCAGTGGGTCCATCAACACTGCGTCAAAGCAAAGGGCCAGCAAAAACTTCACTTTGGGCCCAGAAGTTCGGAGAGCTAGATGCTTGGCGGTGGTTACAGATCCCAGGTACAAGGCGAAGAGAGCCTTGCCTGGTGCCACTTTTGGCCTACGGGCTGTGGCGTCGCTAGAGCAGACGCAAAAGAGCCGAGAAAAAAAAAGACGGGTCCTCTAAACAGTTTGGCAAAGGGAAAGGGAAGGTTCAAAGGTTCAAGGGAGGCGGCCGAAGGTTCAAAGGTTCAAGGGAGGTGGCCGGGGCTTCTTGACACTCCTTCCCCGGAAAGGCCTGCTCGTCGGATCGCGTTCTCAGCCAGTACCCAGCCGCCACCAGCAAGTTCACGATCCTTGACACGGAGTCATCTCATCAAAGGCCAGCACACAGAAACAGTCAATGCCTCTGCTATATACAGTACTATATCCGAGGAGAAATCGACCATGAATCGAAGAGCGAAGGGGATGTTGGTCTCATATGACCTTAGCACCGGAGCATTTGTATCACAAAATCACCGTGGCCTTTACAAAGTCCATCTTCTTGCTGGCTTGGAATGGGACGTGCTGGGAGGGAAGTGCCCCTTGCCACCGAGTGAGAATCCAGCCTTCTCGTGTGAAGGGCAAAGGATGAAACAAACTTGTGTGAGTGAGAAACCGCTGGCGCCTCCAGCATGCGCCTGCATGTGGCCACAAGGCTGGGCACGGCAACAACCACTCGCCTCACTTAGAAACAACCCCGGTCGCTGTGGTCAAACTTCTCTTCCAATACTCGTCTCATACACGCAAGAGTTGAAATCCGCCCGCGACAAAGGTCAGAAAGAACTCACAGGCTTTGGTGCTTATATAGCTATAGGCTATAGCCAAAAAAGAATGCCTGTGATGCCAGGCAGTCAACCTGCTTTACCAGCATTTTTACATAGCTGTTCCTTGCCGGTATGCAATTTACAGTGCCTAAAGACCCGCAATTATTATCTAGCCTGTGCCTGTCCCCCTAGTCATTCCTGCACACGAACGTCAACAAATTGTTTGTTTACACATCCGTACGGCTGCAGACCAGCGGCAAAAAGCATGAGTGTTCGTTGGATCCTTGCCATCCTTGCCGTGATGCCAAAGAACCCAACATCCGCAAAAAGGTGTCTGGTCCACCCGTCTGTGAAGGCACAACACACTGCAAACTACACTTCAGTTTCTTGACAAGATGCTCATCAGAGTGGAACGCTGAACCAGTTCCACTTTCCTCACAAAAGGACTTGCCTTGTCACGGCCTCGGAACTTGCTGTCTCCCTCTCTCCTTCGTTTTCTTCGTTTTCTGTTTCTTCAGGATGCTGCATCCAGAAGTTGCCAACAGGCTCTCCAAGGACTGACGAAATGCTTCCAAGCCATCAGGTTTCTGGAGCTCCTCGCAATGTCCACAATGCGCATGACATCGCATTACTGTGCACATGCGAGGGCGGAGAGCACCTCAGGGCACTCCACATAGAAATATGGCTCAAACCCATGGATGTGGGCCATCAAGCTGTGCCCTTCCTCAGTCACCTTATGATGATCGAAGTGCATGAAGCGCGTGGGCTCCCATTCCATATCGCATGTCAATCCGAAGCCACTTGATTGTAGGGCCCTGGCACCATACATCCGCAACACCGGCACCACAGTTTCTGGAGAATAGGGATTTTCCAAGTTCGGAAAGCGCATGTCAGGTGCCTTTCAAGGTGGAAATTGCAAATCGCATAATTCTCACTGTACTTTGCATGTAGAAAAGGCTGCATTTCTCCCTCTCTCTCTCTCTCTCTGCAGGCTGCCTTTGTATAGTAGTCAATGTCCACCTGCATGAACTGCAGAGGTCCTGCTCGACTTCACAGGGCTCTTGAGCAGCTCTAGTCCAAGCTGACAAAACAAGGATCCTTGAAAATCCTCTGGCTCTGGCCTGTCCACAATGGCTCGGACAACGGCCAACGGCAGACATGACTCAAGCAGTGCCTCTTCAAGTGACTGAAGTTGTAGCGGGTACCTTCCACACCTGATGAGGCGCGATGGCTTTTGTGAGAAAATACGAGCATCCGGTCTCTGGGCAGCACACGTTGACGCTTTGCCTTGATTGCGGCAGTTTCTCGTTATGTCAAACCACGATGTGAGAATGTAAGACTTGAGACAAACACATTAAGCGATCTTGTGGAGTGAAGTTCCTGCCATGATACGACGACCTGGTTCGGCTCTGCTGCTCGTTTGGGTGGAGCAGAAGATGCGCTAAACAACTCAAGTTCAGCCATCCTTAGCCACAGAAGGACAAAGGCCACATAGAAAAACGGTCATTGTCGTTGTGTTTTGATCATAGGCTCAGGGTAGTGCTTTGATTCCAGATCAGGTTCGGTCATGGCAAATGGGCGCAGCAAGTCACGAAGCTATGGTCAGAGCCAGTCAACCCCGGCACTTCGGCGAACGGAAGCTGTGAATTGACACAGGCGAAGCTGACACGAAGCATGACTGACAAGATGGTAAGCAACTCAAACGTGTTGCAACGGTTCCTGTGGCGTGATTTCTGCTAGGATGCTCTCAGCTGGTGCCGACTCTCTTTCCCTCTCTCTCAAGGCATGCCTCTCACCAGCCAACTCTGCACTAGTGAAGTTTGTACAAATCCCAATTTCCATCAATTCCTGCCAATCTCAGGTTCAGTGAATGGTAGGCCTCCAGGCTCTTGCGGTGGCCCACGGAAACAAAGCCTTCGCATGTGGATGCAATGCATTGGTAGACCATTGCCTCCTGAATGCAGTGCAAAGAAGAGTGTGATACAATGATTAGTGGAAGCACTTGAAGTGCCTATTTCAAATACGCATGGGTACGGATAACGATGCTTCTACTGTATCTGATCCTCACAGCAAACAGCACAACATGCCGAGCCAGCACGCCGCGTAGTATGCTTTACTAGACTTCCAGCCCAGAACCCAACAAAAGGTTCCGGATTTGAGTGTTACAGCAACACCAACAAGCATCAACCGCGTCAGCTCAAAAGCCCCTTTGATCGACTTTTTGGAGGGCTCACCAGGGGCGCGCATGCGGGATTTTATACATTGACATGCTTTCAATGGTGCTATGCTTGAGGAGAGTGGCATGGTTCTGCAAGGGCACAACCTCCAGGTTGCAAAGAATGCTACTGCTACTGCAAGCTAAAGGCCAGAAACTTGCTTTGTACCAGAGACTTGCCGATCTCTAGCATCGCGTTCTTGTAGGGCTGGAACGCTTGAGCCGGTAGGCTTTACTTGGCAGGTGCTTTTATTTGATGTAGCCTGGAGCGAGCACGTTGCACTCGACGCTCTAAGTGACCCCAGTGGAATTAGGCTTCAACTAGGACCTAGGAAATGCTCTGGGTCCTCAACAATTTGCAGGTCGAGAGGGCCAAAGGTCTCCGCACCCCACGGAATGAAGATTGGCCAGTCACCCAAGCGTAGGGATTGCCGTCCAGTCATAGCAATCATAGTAGCATTGTCAAAGTTGAACCCTAAAATTAAGTTAACTACTAGCTTCTTGTTACTGCTAGTAAGGCACCTGTTACTACTAGCGTGGCACTTGTTCTTAGTAGCTTCTTGTTACTACGTTCCAAAGGTCGGTGAAGATTATTGATTTATCATTTCCAGATCTGGTCGGGGAAATGCACTGCACCGAGGAAATACACAACAAAAGCACAAATACTCCTCTTGCTCATGCTGAAGGTGTATCTAAAAAATTGTCGTGATTGGAGAAGGGTGAAAGCAGGAGTTGCGGCAGAGATGCATGAACTGGCAGCGGCATGCCATGGTATGGCTTCATTTCATGGCGCAGGTGGCTGCTCATGTTCGGGAATTTTATACGGCCTGCTTGCCCCTTTCTGCTTTGCAATAGTAGCGACCCACGAAACCCATATCACACGTGCAGTTTCATCAACACCGCTACCTGGTCCACACATTCAATCATTGCATTCTTGCTAAAGTTACGTTGACGCGGGACCGGCGCACACACACACACACACTCGCAAGCAAACCTAGAAGTATAAAATGTGACAATGTGGAAAGTGGATCTTCACAAGCAAAGCATCGTGTGCAGGATCATTGGCAGAGGTGACCTCATCAACCAATGCAAAGGTTGGCCGGTGAACCAGCAGTCTGGCTACGCTGAGGCGTTGCTGTTCTCCAATGCTCAGCTGTTCATCCCACCTCTGAACCACATCCAGCTCGCCCTTGGTGCGTTCCAAAACAGATTGAAGCCCCACAGCAACCAGAATTTCATGCAAATGTGAATCGTCAACCTTAATTGCTCTTTGGTTGGGATACAGCAGCTGTTGGCGCAGAGTCCCCAGGCTCATGTATGGCCGCTGAGGCAAAAAGAGAACTGCACCCGGCTTCATCTCGCGCTTAATCTCCCCAACGCCCCTGTGCCAAAGTCCTGCCAACGCTCGCAGGAGAGTGGTCTTGCCACTGCCACTTGGGCCTGAGATCAGCAAGCCACCTTGCATCGGCGCGGAAAAGTGCGCATCTTTCAGAAGAATGCGATCCGCGAAAGCCAGTGTCAGCCCCTGCACTTCAAGCCAAGAGCTGTCATGCTCATCGGCAGCTTGTATAAGTATTTTGCTTTCACTGTTGTCGTCCTGGGTCTGCTCTAAATGGTAAGTGAACAGCTCTGTTGCAACTGCTGTTAATCTGGAGAAGTCTGAACAGTTGTCGGCAAAGAGCAGCAAGGCTCGCAGTACGGCATCAAAAGCTTCATTGGCTTGATTCAAAAGTGCAGCGTCCTGTGTCAAACCTGCCATCTGCACCATGACAAGGGAAGGACCAAGCCCCAACACCTGCCTGTACTGATCCTGCACAAGTTGCACGACGTCTTTCGCTGCAAGCCGATTCCACTCACTGTCGCTCCTCAACTGCAAGGACTTCTCTGCAAGCTGAACCTCCTGCCTCTGACCACCGTAGAAGAGGATTGATTCAGCATTCTCTCTCATTCTTGTCAGCAGGTAAGTGAAAGCTCCATCCGATGCACGCTCGGCAGAGTATAAAGCTGGCAAATCTCGTCCAAGCTGACCCGTGATCAACGTACCGCCAAGAGCTGCGAGGACAGCAAGTTTGGACAGAGCGGGAGACAAAGTCCTTAGCAAACCTGAATAGAAATACAAATCTACAGCAGCTTGGAAGCCGTCCAACCATAGTGTTGTTGCCAACGAGGTAAATTTCCCAACATCAGCTGAAATCCGTTGGTCTGGGTGCCTGTGATCAAAGCTATCCCGAGTATCTTGAAGCCCTGCGCGGTGTCCAAAGCATTGTGCTTCTAAGAATTTGCCTGCGCTGCGGAGGACTGGGAAACACAAGCAAGCAGCAACCAACCCGCACCTAGAAAACTCTTTGTCAGGTGCTGCTCCCACTGCAAGCGCAAGCCACGAAAAAGCCGATAGTACAGCCTCATAATATTGACCGCTCAAACAGCTTTGAAGTCTGTGAAGCATCTTTTTTGGAATCTAGACGTGGGTGATCATGGATGATCATGGATGCAACTGGCCTGCTGATGGGGCTGAGAAGAAAAACAGCTGCAGCGTACCTAAGGAAGCTAGCCACAATGAACCTGCTGCACAATGTGTAAAAACTGTCGAGGCACTTCAGAATGGTCCGCAGTATCTCCGGCCGCTCCAGTGACCTGAGGCGAGGAGGTAAGAAAGCCACGTGCCACCAATTTGAACATCTATATAGGTGTATATATATATATGTCTCTATTCTCCCTGGAAAAAAGCGAAAAAATAAACGAGAGAGTGAGATAGTGAAAAAAGTAATAAAACAAGAAAATAAGAATCTCTTGATCATGCTCCCCTTCCCCCCATGGCTGCTGGATCGTTGTCAGGGCGGAAAAAATGCTAATGCCCCCTTAAATATGCCTCGTTGAAGAGGCCCTTACCTTTTTTGCTTCCTCTCCCCTCCTTCTCTCTTCCTCCTCTCTCCCTCCTATCTTCCTCTCTTCACCGAACCTCAACATGCTCGTGTATCCATGTATCTTGATTTCTTGACAAGTGGCCCAGAGAGGAGATGTTGTAGTTCTTTGCGTTTCATCTGGGACAGCCAGATCCGCGCTTTGCCACGGAAGACTTGGACGCAAATTACCTGAGGCTTCGCCCACCCTCTACACAGTTCCAACTTCGAAGCAACTATCCTGCCGCGCTTTGTGGAAGGCCACGGCTAGGGTGCTATTACCTGAAACTAGACATGGTTAGTTATATATATATATATGGCTTGACATTCTGAAATCACATGACAAGAAAACAACAAAGAATCTAAAAGCAAAGGAAAGAAAAGTGAAAGAAGAATAGAAGGCCAAAAAGAAAGAAATAATGATGAAGAATGCTTGACAGTCTTTTCCTCTTGAGTTGTGGGCATCATCTGGGCCAAGGCTCAGCTGCCAAACGGCTAAAGGCTTCAGCACGGCATCTCCGATCACCTGGGACTCAGCTGGGCGCATGACGACTTAGCTTAGCTGCCGCTTCGACCATCACGTTTAACAACTTGGGACCCAGCTATCCCACCAAAACAGCCTGATGAGTTGGAAGCTCGCAGTCCATGGCTTGGCCATCTTCGCAAACTCGAAAATTTGAAAAATGAAGATACACTTGAATTGCTGCCATGCTGTTCTTGTGTCAGGGATCTCAACCAAACAACATGTCAAAGCACCGAAGAGGATTAATGAAACTAACCAAAACGCAGAATCATGTCGGCGCACTACTTCAAGAGAACTGCTGGCACACCAGGACAACAATGCTAAAGCCAAAACTCTGCATAGTTGTCCATCGCATGCACGGAGATGGTTCTTGCGTGCGTGCGTGTGTGGGCAACATCTACAGCATCCCCAACAAGACCTGAAAACGCTGTAGCTTTCTCTCAATGTGTCTGATTTGCCGAGTGCCACGCGATTCAGAGCACTATCAAATTTGCTGCAAATGCTCGCCCCCGAAGCACACAAAGAAGACAAGCAACAATGCATCAAACGTTTTCAAAAAAAAAGAACACGCACACGCAATATATATATATATAGACAGTTTTCAAAACAAGCCGCGGGAGGGAGTCCACTTGAATTGGCATGCCACACCCAACAAGTTTCAACTCATACAAGCTCAAAGTGCATACAGTTGCACTCCAAGTGTGGTGCTCATCTTTGCAAGTGAATTTGTAAACAAGGTCTATCTAGCCGTCTCAGGAGATAACACAATTGTCCCGACGATCTTGCCGAGATGCCCCAGCACTGAACCTCAGCTGAATATAGCAAAAGCATCACAAGCATCATGGCACCCAAAGACCGTCGTACATGAAGGCTCAAACCTAGCTTGATATATCTACGTTTTTTCCGTTAAATGAGAAGTGCACAAACAAAGAAGAATCTCAAAAATGCTAGGGCTGCTGAAGAGCGAGCGCTGATGACTGCCACCTCTAGGGTTCCCACGTCGGTGACGATCCTCAGGTGTTTCACAAGGGTACCATATGGAGTGGTCGAACTTCATGGTGGATCTGGATTTACAACAAGGTGTTGATTTCAGGTCTATGAGTTGGGACCATCTGTCGATTTGGCTAAATCTACAGTATATATGCTTTCAAGATGCCATTCTGCAAAGCTTCATATCTGCACTCGCCCCGATCGGACCATTCCTCTTCAGAGAACTGCTCAGAGAGGATGCATCACAAAGTTCCATTGCCGTGGGAGGTTCTGACATATCATCGTCTGCCTTGATCATTGCCACCAAAGCTGTTGTGTCATCTGCATTGTTTGCTGGAACAGAAGCTGCATTGCGTTGCCAAGGCGGCTTATCCGCATTGTCTTCCCCCAATCTCACACTTCTGATTGCAAGATCAACCAGAAATGAGGAAGCCTCGGCCAGCTCTTCATTTGAGCCAGTCGCGCAGCATCTCTCGAGGGCTTTCTGGATGTCAATATCAGACAAGTTGTCAAACAGGCCATCTGTGCCCAAAACTAAAAGATCCCCAACCTTCACCGGAGTTGTGGCGATGTTGGCAGAGCTAATGACTTCATGAGCACTGGCTGCATCACAGCCATGGAGGCGCTGGATTTGGACTGGTCGTCGGGCATCGTAGCGGCCGGGCTCAGTCTTGAAGATAGGCCGCAGCCGTAAGGGATAGAAACTGACAGGCCGCAAGATGAGGATTCCACTGTCACCCAGGCATGCTGTGACAAGGTTGCTGCCCTTGATTGCAGCCAACAAGAGGGTCGTAGCACCATGTTCCTCTGTTGAGTCGAATGCTTCCTGAATCAACTCAATCATCCATTCACTGTGAGTCTCACTCACCTGCTTTCCTGACTTCTCTTTTGGCTCTCCCTTAGCTGCCGCTGCGAAGAGACCACTGCCACAAGAGTGCAAAAGTTCCCAAGGCAAAGCATCAGGTGTGAGCCCAAGGGCGTGCACCCCTGAGACACCATCAGCGATCCCCAAATAGTCAATGCCTTCGAGAACCGCATCTGCATTGGGGATTCCTGTGCTCATCTTGGCTGGGTGCTGGCGGGAATTAAAAGCTGATGCTATTCGCAGGGTGTCATTTTGACGCTTGGGGCACTTGGCCGAGTAGACTGGAGCAACAAGAGAGAGGCAGTGAGGAAAACCTGTATGCTGAGCATTTTGCTGTGGCATCCTCATTAGTAGTGACTCTTGATTGGGTCCTGCAATCATTGTCTGGCATGCCCTCAGCGGACTTCCCTCCAAACGCTGATCAATAACCAAAGAAGGACAATGCGAAAATGGTTTTGCAATTTTTGAGGTCGGACTGTTTGGGAAGCAGTCGTTTGTCACCTTCTGGAACCTTTCCACCTCGAAATTGCAAGGCATAGTTCTATTGAAACCATGATTGTTTGGCAAGTACGACGGGCTCGAAGCAACGAGGGCTGAAGCTTGCACAACATGATCCACATGCCTTGCTGCAATCGGAGGGATCCATGACTTTGGACGACCTAACTCACACCTAGGAGTAGGGTTTGGGACCCACGAGTGTGATGGTGCAACAGGCAATCGAAATGTCTCATCCGAAACTCCAACCACTTGAGCCACTGGTTTCCAACTTTGCTGCGGGGTGATGCGTGGAGGCACCCAACTTGCACCTCTTGGAGTCTGCGGCGGCCCTCTAGGCGTGCATCTTGAGACAGGGGAATGCGGGCCCTGAGGAAGCGATGACAAAGGAAATGCACAACCCTGGTGCCCAGCATCTCTGGCCGAGCGGGCTGGAGTGGGAATTGCACGGAGCCCGATATGAGGTTGACATGACACCTCTTCTGTCAGCATGCATTTTGCCACTGGCATTGTAGCCTTCGGAGCTGCAAGTTTGCTTCCCAAACCCGAATTCTGCGCAGTAGGTGCAGAATACGAATGCCCGTGCTGCAAGTGGCTCACCATGGCGTCCAGAGAAGCACACTATTGGAAAGTTGTTTTATCAGGCCACAGCTTGGTCGAGGTGCGACAATAGTGCAATCATGTTTGTCATGCACCCTGTATTCAGTTTTTTTTGGGTGGCACACGGCTGCATACATCCAGAACATCACAAGTAGAATGCAACAAACAAGCTCAATTGAACTTATCAATTGCATCAGCACCGACCCGAAACAGCAGTGGCAACTTGTCCTTCCCGCTTGCCAGCGAATTTCCTTGCGTCTTGTTTTTTCAGCATCATCTGTGCCCAGCATCCAGAAGAGCCTTGGAAAAGAAAGACTTTAAAAAAGGGAACATTGCACATTCACTACCGTACAGCCCCGCATCCAGAAGAGCCATGGGAGACAAAGGTTGACAAAAGGAGACAAAGCAGAACCATCACAGCCCAGCATCCAAAAGAGCCATGGGAGACAAAATTGGACAAAAGGAAAGTAGACGACGGGTGGCCCGAGAGCGAGAAAAAGAAAAGATGTATACCCCCCTACCAAAAGATTGCACAAGTAAAAGTGCTCCATATGCTACTTTTTCCTGCGGAGCGGCA